GAGTACTTTAGGCAGGGCTGGCCCGAGGGGCTGTGGGTCCTGGGGGGAAAGGGGCCCCAGCCCTGTTGCCGGAAGCAGCACATTTCCCTCTTGGCTCAGCCACTTCCTGTTTGGGGAGAGGGGAGGAGGAAACTGCTTGGGTGGGGGGCCCCAGTCCTGAGAGGGGGTTCAGGAGAGGTGGGATAGTGCTGGGTGGCTGCTCTCAGGAGCTCCTTTTTGTCCCCAGGGGCTACACCACTTGCATTCTCAGGGGAAGATCCACAGAGACATCAAGGTAGGGGTCTGGCCCAGGGCATCGTGGGAGGCAGGAGGAGGCTCTTGGGGGCACCAGACGGGATTCTCTCTCCTCCATTCCCACAGGGAGCCAATCTTCTCCTCACCCTCCAGGGAGATGTCAAGCTGGGTCAGTACCCCGGGGAAACAATCAGGGTGAGGGTTCTGTGGGAGCTCGTGGAGGCTTAGAGTCTGCGTTCAGGTGCTGGGTGTCCTTGAGCAAGTCACTTTACCACTTAACCCTCGGTTTCCCCGTTGAGACAGTAGACGAGCCCTCCTTCCCTGCCAGAAGTTGGATGTGGTTGGGTCTTTATGGATTCTAACCTGGGGCCGCGCACTTGGTCAGGGGTAGAAGGTGGTTGACCCCTCCCGGAGGGGGACCTGGCCTTGCCTCGGACCTGTGGCAGTTGTGGCTGAACCTGGGCCACCTGCTGTCTGAACCCTTCAGGTGCATTCCGAGCCTGAGCCCTGGAGGTGGGTGGGGATGGTAGCCAGTGGGCGGACGGGCGTAGCTCTCTCTCCCCGCAGCCGACTTTGGGGTGGCAGGCGAGCTGACGGCATCTGTGGCTAAGAGGAGATCTTTCATTGGGACTCCTTACTGGTGAGGCTGTGCCTTGGGCCGGGGGGGGGGGGGCGCCACAGGTGGGCACCTGGCCATCCCATCTGTGACCCTGCCTCTAGGATGGCCCCGGAGGTGGCCGCCGTGGAACGCAAAGGAGGCTACAACGAGCTGTGTGACGTCTGGGCCCTGGGCATCACCGCCATCGAGCTGGGCGAGCTGCAGCCCCCTCTTTTCCATCTGCACCCCATGAGGTCCGCTGAACACTTACTTGCCCCTCGCCTGACCTCGAGGGCCCTGCTGACCTCGTCCCCTGACCTCGTGCTCTCCACAGGGCCCTGATGCTCATGTCGAAGAGCAGCTTCCAGCCGCCCAGGCTGCGAGACAAGACTCGCTGGTGAGGGCCCACACCCCCTGCTGGGGCCTCCTTTCCAGCAGTCTCCATGGGGGCGGAGAGCCTTCTGCCAACTCCCAGGGCACAGCCTGCGGAGCCCTGCCCTCACAGCCTTTGTGGACCATCTGCGGGAGGGGCTTGAGCCCTGCCTCTGGGTCGGGGGACCCAGCCTGGGTCGGGAGGAAGGGCAGACGGTTAATGATGGGGGGGCTGCCGTGTCACGACGGCAGCATTGCTTAGGCCAGCCGCCCTTGGCCTCAGGCCGGCTCCTTCCTAGAGCAGACTCCCTCCTCTGGAGCGGTGGCAGGGGGCAGCTGGCAGGATGCTGCACGTGAGGGCTAACCTGGGTCTGGGGGCGGGGGGGCTCTTGTGCCCACTAGGACCCAGAATTTCCACCACTTCCTCAAGCTAGCCTTGACCAAGAACCCCAAGAAGAGGCCAACGGCAGAGAAGCTTCTGCAGGTGGGAGGCAGGGGCAGGGCAGGAGCCTGGATGCTTGAAAGCAGGGCCCTGGAGGTCAGGAACCAACCTGTGCCCCCCTCAATCTTCCAGCACCCATTCACAACCCAGCAGCTCCCTCGGGCTCTGCTCACACAGCTGCTGGACAAAGCCAATGACCCCCACCTCGGAACCCCTTCCCCTGAGGACTGGGATCTCGAGGTGAGTGAGCAGAGCTGGGGAATGGGTCCTGGCCTGGCGGTAAGAAGTGCGGAGGCAGTATGAGTCAGGGCCCTTTAACTTAAATGTTGCCAGCACCGAGAACTTTCCTCCAGGCAAGCCCGCCCATTAGAAGTCTTCCCTGGGCCCATCTTGCCCCCACCCCCCCCCATACCTCCCCCCTGATAAATTCCCCACCCTTGGTTCAGGCTGACCTGACCTGTGTGATCTTTGGCCAGCCACTTGCCTGTCTGTGTCGGTTTTCTCATCTTTGAAAACGAGGGTGCCGTTTAATCTTGGGATCGTCTCAGAGGGTTGTGAAAACACCCACCAGGTGTAGAGAGCACTTTGGTAGGCGAAAAGCTGGGTGTGTGTCGCTGTTCTCTAGGCTTATGATTTGCTTCCAGACACTATTCACCTCCTGGGTCAGCACGTAAAATTGCCGAGAGAGGACCCCCTCAGAGATCCAGTGTGAGTCTGCTGGAGGACTGTGTCTGTGGATTTGGTGGGGTGGGGCTGTGTGGGCATTGGTGGAGGTCGGGTCAGTCGGAGCCCACTCAACTGGTACCCTGGCCCCAGTTACCAGGTGAAATTTGCGCCCGCTATGAGAAGGAACGACCCACGAACGAGCCGGTGGCAGGGTCTGTTATGGGGGGGGGGTATGGCAGGTGCAGGGGGCGCTCAGGAGTTCCTGAAGCAGCAGTAGCCTGGTCCTCTTCACTGGAAAGTCTGTGCAGCAGGTTTGTCCCACCACACAGCGTGCATATGCAGGGGAGGGGACTTCTTCCGGCATATTGTAGGGATCCATGCTCTTTCTAATGACACGACCTGTCACAGACCGACCAGCCTCCTCCTCCAGTTTCTGTCATGCCGCATCCGAGTCTATCGTCTAACTAACCCCACTCTCTTTATGCCCCTCTCTTCTGCCCGCCTCATTGGCCCCTCTTTCTCTTCTCTGGTTGTCAGTCCTCCTCTTATATGCGGAGCTTCTGCCTCTCGCTGTCCCCCTCAAGCCACCTTTGTTTGTTTCCGTGTGTGGTCATCATTTGTTCAGCCCTGTCTCCCCACAGTTCCTCCATCACTCCGCCCCACATTGCTTCTCTTCTTGTCTCTGACTCTCTTTGCTTTGACTCTGCTTCCCAGAGTGGGGATATGAGGACGCTGCTGGGAAAGCGAGGAGCAGAGGTGAGAAAGTGAGGGAAGAGAGGAGTGCCACAGGAAGGGGGAGAAAGGCTGGGCTCACCTCATCCCTCCTGCCCAGAGAGCCTGCTACAGTCAACAGAGAGGCCCGGGATGTAGAAAGGTGAGGGGCTGGGTCCAGCGGTGGGGGGGAAAGGACCCGGGGCCTGGTCACATCTCCCACCTATGTCCTGGGGTTCGCCCCCACAGGAGTTCTCGGACCATCGCCAGCCTCAGAACTCCAGGCATGGAGTGGGGGAGGGCCAGGTAGTGGGGGAAGCCACTGCACCCCCAGCAGCCAGGCTCGGGTCCCCCTGACTTTCCTGCCAGGAGCTGGGACTCCAGACGCATGCCATGCCATGGGAACCACTGGCCCTCTGGGGGGCCACCCCTGCTGAGCTTCCAGCTGACCCTCTGTCCAGCCTCCCTGGGTGAGTCCAAGCTTGGGGGACCAGGAGATAGGGGCTCAGGGCGGGGCTAGAGCTGACCAAGTTTGCCTGCAGGCAGGAACCCTGGCTCCCCATCCCTCTCCTGCTCTAACAGCCCCCCTGGCACTCCCCCACTGCCTGGCCACCATGAAGCACAGGACTGATCCTGAGGTGAGGGGGTGCTCCAACGGGCTGGG